CTGCTTGAAATGGAGAGGGAGAACCCAATCAGGCTCAGCTCAAAACATCTAATGCTCGCAACTAACAGCTACTCGAACATGTTGGGGTCAGGTGGCTTCTGATCAGTCTATAAATGAACTTTCAGTGATGGAACCATTGTGGCTGTGAAGGTTCTGAAAAATGGCAGCAGCTCTCACAAAAGAATAGAGGAGCAGTTCATGGCAGAAGTGGGTACTATTGGAAGAGTTCATCATTTCAATCTTCTTCGCCTCTATGGATTTTGCATTGAAAAGCAACATGAGAGCACTGGTTTATGAGTACCTGGGCAATGGCTGGCTAGACAAGTATCAGTTTCATGAGAACAAGACATTATTAGGATTTCGAAAGCTTCATCAGATTGCAGTTGGAACAACCAAGGGAATTTCATATCCGCATAAAGATTGCCAACAAAGAATCATCCACTGTGACATCAAACCAGAAAACATCCTCCTGGACAACAACTTCTGTCCTAAATAAGTTACTGACTTCAGTTTGGCCAAGCTCTGCAATAGAGAAAATGCTCATGTTACCATGATAAGAGGTAGAGGGACCCTATGTTATGCTGCACCAGAGCTTTGGATGCCGTTTCCTATAACTTACTAGCGTGATGTTTATAATTTTGGAATGTTGTTACTTGAAATCATTGGCAAGAAAAGGAATCTTTATGTGAACCTTACAGGAGAAAGTAAAGAGTGCTTTCCGAGACGGATTTGAATAAAATTTGATAGTGGAGAGCTGAATGAAATTATAACAGTATGTGGAAAAGAGGAGGAAGATAAGGAGAATGCAGATAGAATAGTTAAGATAGCTCTTTTGTATGTTCAGTATAAACCTAAGCTGAGGCCTATGATGAGTGTTGTGGAGAAAAAATTGGAGGATTCAGTGGAAATCCCAGACCCTGTGAGTCCTTTCCAGAACTTGATGGATGCAAGTTATTCTATTCAATCAGTTCAGACGACACAAACTGATACAAGTGCTGCTTCTGGATCTTCTATAATATCGTCTAAACCTAGCTGTTTGGCTGCTACTCCTGTCATGAGCAAGTATAAGATCCAAACAACCTCTACCTGAGTTAACAGTACAAGCTTTTTGGGAATATCTTATTTTCTCTAGTGATTTAATTTTGATGTTCTGTTGGATCTGTGTTGCTAAATGTGATAGTAAATTTGTTCTATCTACACATAGAATGCTTGACTTCAATGTTGTTAAAAAAAAAAAAGCATGCTTCTTGGAGGTTACATGTTTGGATTGTTAGGGATTTGTATTTGGACCAAATTCAATTCGTATTATACTTTCTTTAAAATTTCAAACCTCTTTGATACTAGAAATTTCAGTTATTTTAAATTTTTTATTCTTTTTATATTTTTACTATTGATATTTTTATGACTCATATCTTTTCTCATTTCTCATTCTCATCTTTTATCGACTGAAAAATAAAAATAAATTCATCAATTTCAATTTTTTATTTTAGTTTCGAATATCAACCTATTTCTCTTTTTCATTTGAAGCTTGTTAAACAATCTAAATGAAAGATTTTAAACACATAAATTTTTTATTGTGAGAATGTGATATTTCAAATCTAAATCCACAATCACAAACACTACTTTTTTTTTTGGTTTTTTTAAATGCAAAACAATATATAAACTTCAGGCACAAATATTTATTGAAAAAATGACAATTTGGGACCTTTTAAAGAAATTAGTGACAATTAAAAACCTCAAAATATTGAAATGTTAGGAAAGGACCATAGTTTTCATTTGTAATCAAAATATTTTAATCATTGAAATAACCAATAGAACGTCAATTATAAATTAAAGAAAAGTTTGTTGTAAATTTCAAGGAGATCACTTGTGAATATATAAAAAATCATTTGTAAACAAATAGATAATTTCATATATATATATATATATATATATTGTCACTTGAAAATTTAAGGAGAATCAATTATAAATCTTTTGAAAGTTACTCGTAAATATATGAAAAATTAGCTGTAAATGGATATTCAAAAACATTAGAAGGTGTCTAAATTATTAATTTATAATTAAAACTATTTATATTTATTTACAACTGATGTTCCATATATTTCTAATTAATATTCCTTAAATTCAAAACTAAAATTTCATAAATTCATTATTCACCTTTCTAAGATTTATAAGTAACTATCCAAAAATTCAAATGTGATGATACATAAATTTATAAAACTAACTATTTATTTATAATTGACTTTACATTGATTCACAAGTAACATTTTTTAAATTCACAACCCACCTTGCTTAAATTCATAGTCACATTCCATTAGTTATTTTAATAATTATTTATCTTTTAATTACAAATAAAGACCATGGTCCTTTAATTCTATGACTTTTCAATAATTTGAGATCTGCAATTATCATTAATGTCTTTGCAAGACCCTTAATTGTCATTTCCCCAATGCTCTAACATTCAGCTACAGAGGACAGAGAGTGCAGATTATGCCACAGGTTTACAAAGCCAATAGTGATTTTTTTTTTATTACAAAAAGAGTTACAAGCATGACAAGATCTAATCAGTAAGTGGTTATGTCTTCCAGAGGGTTCTGCCAAGCTCATCTCCTTCAAGAATCTGCAAAATGGAAATCCTTGAGTTATGAATTTTTTTTGCAGTTCTGAGTTCTGCTATAAAAGATTAGTTAAGATAGCTTTATATTGATTTTAATTGGCACTAATAAAAGTTGCTGATGGCCCTCTATATATATATATATATATATAAAGCTTTTGATGTTTATCCTATGATTAAAAATCACTCAATTTATTGATATGATGATTTTATTTCTCGAATACAAATAAAATTATTGCCTCACTCCTTATCATAAGTCTAAAAATGGCTTCCTACAATTTATTCAATTTTAATTAACAGTCACTGGCTTGGTTTACATTAAGAGTTGACTTTATATATATGTAAAAAGGCTCATTAACATGTTAAAATATATTATTATTTCTTTAAATGATAACTTCAGTGCTGACTTTAAGGATGGGGATTAAAATAAAATCTTTAGTCAGCATAATCTAATTCATTAATTCGTTTGGTCAAAAGTAGATGGTAATATTGCAAAAGAAATTTTCAAGTCATATGTATTTTGAATCCTAGTGGCGGATACTATATATTAACCAAATTTTTGGCTATAGATGTTGGTTAATCAATTAAGCAACATGTTAGAAAATGAAAACTTATAGCGATGATACACCCAAAGTCTTTTTAAGAATTGAATGATGATTATTTTCAAAACATCAAGGCGACACTAAAAAAAAAAACAATATTACTCAATCTGATGCAATTGTCAAGCTACCACTAATGAAAGTCTCTTTTAAAACTTGATCTTTCAAAATTTAACTCTTTCAATTTACTGTCTGAAAATGATTGGAAATATAAAAATTTCTCCTGTGAGAAATTATTCAAACTTTGCCTTCTAACAAGATACAATGAAGCCAATTTCTTATCTTCAGTCTAAAACACTACATGTTTAATTTGTGCTGAGACTCCATGTTTTCTTTCATTATTCAGTATCATTTCAGAATTCTTCCTCCTGTTCTTCATATTGCTGCTGCTACGGTTATATCTTCTTCTTAGGTTAAGATTCATAACTGTGATTTGCTTCTTATTGTTTTGGTGTTTTTCAATTACTTGTCTGCTTTAATTAGCTTTTGGTGTTGCTTTGGTTCCCAAGATTTCCTGAACGAAAAGAAATTATTTGGATTAATCTAGAGTTTACAGATTAGTTTAATTAATTCAGCGTGACATCCATTTATCTCACCATCATGCAATATGATTTTGAAGGTTCTTCATTTTGATCGAGTACTCATATTTGGGGGAACTGAATCTCCATCTTTCCATCACAGGAATCAGACTTGCAGAATCTCTGGTGATGATGAAGACGCACGCATCCAATTATCCAAATTAATTTGCATATAATTTAGATTAATTGTTCGGCCATGTCAGCAGCTGAATCTCAAAAAATTCCCCTTGGCTTGATTACAGGTATGATTTAATTTAGAGTTTTCCTTTTCTTTTCCTTTCTGAAATTTACTATTAGTTCCTCCTTATTTTTTAGTATTTGGAGTCAGCTAGAGTGCTCATTAGAGATCTCACGGTTCAAATCTAGTTCAAACAGTTCAAATTTAATGTTTTTAACTTAGAATTTTTAAATAATAAATTCATTTTTTAACAAGATAACAATATAAGAAATTATATTTATTTTTCATTCTGCACCTATTAAAATAAAAATTTATTTAAAATATAAAATAATAAATAATATCTAGATGGGTGTTGATCAGATCACATCCTATCTGAAAAGTGGTGAACACTGAAGCTAGACCTTATTTTCTAATCACTGATATTATTTGGAATTTATTCAGACCTAGATTTAGTGCTCATTAAATTGTACATGTCAATGAAACGACATCGTTTTACACGACAGGATGCCTCTCCGCCTGTTTCACGTCCTAAAGTCTCAAAACAAAGTGGTTTTGTTTATGAGACCTGGCACCAAATTTGTGTTCCATGAAATTTTAAAACCATTACTTAATTTTTAATTTGGATGGTCTAAAAATTATTTTTTTTCAAATTAAAAAGCTATTATCTAGACAATACAAATTTTAAAGACTATTTTTCTTTTACACCTATTGAAATAAAAAAATTAAAATTATAAAAATAAAGTAAAATAAAATCTAGATCACATATGATTATACGTCTGTTATAGTAAACATATTTTTATTTAATGAGAATTATTAAATGAAAAAAAATTAAAATTATAGGAAGCCATGTGGCAATTTGACATAGCATATATATAAGTTCTTTGGACTAATTTAGTACGTCGTTTATCCCTGTTGCAGCCGTGTCTGTGGTGATAACAATGCTGACCATCTTCTACTGTATATCTCGAAGGCGCGAACCGGCAAATGTAACGGCAGAACTGGAAAGTGGGAACTCGTCATCAGATCACTTTCTGACATATAGAATGGAGAAGTTTCTGAATGATATTGAATCAGGAAGGCCTATCAGATTCACCTCGCGCCACCTAACGCGTGCAACAAACAATTACTCCAACATGTTGGGCTCAGGAGGATTCGGATCAGTTTATAAAGGAACACTTGGTAATGGAACTGTTGTGGCAGTTAAAGTTCTACATAGTAGTGTTTCTGACAAGAGAATGGAAGAACAGTTCATGGCTGAAGTGAGCACAATTGGAAGAGTTCATCATTTCAATCTGGTTCGCCTCTTAGGATTCTGCATTGAAACTGATACGAGAGCTTTAGTTTATGAGTACATGTGCAATGGATCTCTTGACAAGTATCTGTTTTGTGAAAACAAGGCCTTAGGATTTGGGAAGCTTCATGAGATTGCTGTAGGAACGGCTAAAGGAATTGCTTACTTACATGAAGAATGCAACCAGAGGATTATCCACTACGACATTAAACCAGAAAACATCCTCTTGGACCATAATTTCTGTCCTAAAGTTGCTGATTTTGGTTTAGCGAAGCTCTATAACAGAGAAAAGTCCTGTGTTACTATGACAGGACTAAGAGGGACACCAGGATATGCTGCACCAGAACTTTGGATGCCTTTTCGTGTAACTCACAAGTGTGATGTTTTCAGCTTTGGAATGTTGTTATTTGAAATCATAGGAAGAAGAAGAAACCTTGACGTTAACCTCACAGAAAGTCAAGAGTGGTTTCCAAGACAGGTTTGGATAAAATTTGAGAGTGAAAAACTAGAAGAGCTGATAATAGACTATGGCATATTTGAAGATGAAGATAAAGAGATAGTGGAAAGAATGGCAAGACTAGCTTTCTGGTGTGTTCAATATAGACCAGAATTGAGACCCATAATGAGTGTTGTGGTGAAAATGTTGGAAGGCTCAATGGATATCCCAGATCCTTCAAACCCATTTCAACACTGGATGGAAGAAGATCATGCAACATTGGAAGCATCAGCACAAAAGGATATTAGTATCAATGTTGTTTCATCTAATCTTGAGGCATCAGAATCTTCCATTGCGTATGAGACCCATAGATTCTCTTTAGATGGAATCTTGCCATGCATGGTCTAGAGTGTAAGTTCTGGACTCATATCTTGTTGATATCTAGTGCTTTGATTATGTTAGATAGAGGTCAAGGCACACGTAGAAGCTGCAACATGTGCCATTTTTATAATTAAAGACTGGTTATCTATATTTGAGTCGTGTTCTGACAATAAGGACGTGTGTGTGTGTGTCTGTCTCATACGATAATATGGTTATGTAGCATGGGGAAATCGTCCAGCCAACACTTTGTACATGTGTGTGTATAAACATGAATATATGATGCATTATGTCCAATGTATTGTGTGTGCGCGTGTGTGTACTAGCTAGTAAATTTTTGCTGCTGTCTACAACAGAAAGAGTAGGTTTACTTGTTTAAATTGGACATTTATTAATTAATTAATGAAACTTGATTATCAGGTACTAGTCTTGTGAATGAAATAGAGTAATGAAAAAGAACATTAGAGTACTCTGTGATGTTATATACAAGTCATTTACGGAAAGCAAGAAAAGTTAGTTATTTTAATCTTATAATTAAATAAGTTTTCATCTTTACCTCTAATTATAATCATCGATTTAAAAATTAAGGAAAACATAACTTTAAATCTTTACATTTTTGTTTATGTTTCAATTTCTTACACTTTAGTTTTTTGTTCCCTTTTCTAGGTCCCTATAACACCGCTTATAGAGTGACCTAAAACACCATAACACAACAGTGTAGGGATTTAAAATATTGAAAAATTATACGAACTTATATCAAAACTTGAATAAAGTGCAGGGATTTAAAATTATATTTTTTTCAAAAAATCAAATACTCTTTCTATCCTCTTTGATAAAGGGAATTTTTGGTGAAAAGTTTTAGATACCTCAAAAACTCATGCAAAGTGAATTATATTAATATCACAAATACTTTCTAAATTGTGTTCTATATTTAAGACAGAAATGAGTAATTGAATAGTCATAATATACACTTAGGTCATAAAATAATAACTGTGAGATTCTTTTAATGCCTTATCCCCCATTCTATGTAGACCTATCTAAAAGAGGCAAGATGAGTTGAAAGTTTCAACCCATTTAAAAGCATGTTCAAGTAACTCATCCCACCTAACCTAAGAGAAAGGATGGTCGATTAGCCTCACTTGCTAGTTGGTGGCCCTTTTTATTTTGATGTTGATTATAATAAATAAAAGAAAAATATAATTATTTAGTTCTTGTAGTTTTGACTCGCTTGAAACTCAACTCTTAAACTTTGACTCATTGTAATTTAGTTCTTATAGTTTTAACTCTACTGTAACTCAATTCTTGAACTTTTTCTCTTACAATTTAATTCTTATAGTTTCAACTACTTAAATATTGGTATTCATATTTTAAAAAATAAAATTATAGAGATTAAAAGATTAAAATTATAATATTTTAAAATTTTAATATTTATAATATTAGTAATAATATAAATATTAAAATTATGTTAAAATTTATTACCGATATTTTAAATTATTAAACCCTTTTAATTTTTATAAATATTAAAGGTTCAAAATATTTTTAATTTTTATAATCTTATTTTTTTAAAATATGAGGACCAATATTTAAGTGGTTGAAACTATAAGGACTAAATTATAAAAGAAAAAGTTCAAGGACTGAATTATAATAGAGTTAAAACTATAAAGACTGAATTATAATGAGTTAAAGTTTAAGAACTGAGTTTTAAGTGAGTCAAAACTAAAAATACTAAATGATTAATTTTTTTAAATAAAATTTATTATTTTACATTTATTTTAAGTACAATTTTCGTTAGTAACTAGATTTCATTCTCATTAACTAGATGAACCCAGTGAAATTTGAAAAGTTACATCCAAGTGAATAAGTTTTCCGATAGAAAGTGCAGCTTCCGTGAGAGAGAATCCACACACAGGATACATATCAGAGGAACCTTTTTCAGTCATAGACTTGTTGCACAATACCCATTAGAGTTGGGCCTCATCCAACACTTTGCCCACGTTCTGTAGGATCACGTAACCCAAGCCTTCCATTCTAACCAAAGCAAATTACCAGACTTGCCCTTGGCCAGAGTGGGCCCCCACAAGGTCTCAAAGGAGTAGTTTAAACTTTAAAGTAAGATCCAAGCTTCACCGACAGGGTCGAAGTCAAATATATAACCCAACAACAGAGGGGATCACTCTTATACAAAGAATCTAAATGAAAAAAATTGTATGAAATTATAAAATAACATTGAAATATCATATTTTTAAAAAAAAATTAAATTTTTCAATAGTTGTTAATTATTATCTTTTAGTTGTCAACTGAACAACTCCACTGATGACTATCTAGCATTAGTTGACAATTTCATTATAGCAAATTGATAAATTTAGTGAAAGGTATGAGATTTTACAATAATATTGTAATTTCATGAGATATTCTCCCAAGTCCCAACAATATCTTCCCTTTCAAGGATTAAATTCCACGAGCATCCTCATATTACATAGACAAAGATACAAATAAGTCAGGTTAAGCCAAACTTTAATCAAATAAGCTTAAACCTGACTTAAAACTTATATAAAAAAATTTCCAATGGCTTAGACTTAAACTAACTTGAGGTATAACTTAACATAAAATTTTATTTAAAAACTTACTTAAAAGTAAGTCGTTTAGATATGCATACATAATAGACTTTAAAGACATTAAAACTAGGCATTCAACTTATCAAAACTTACACGTGAACAATGTTAGAGGAATAGAGGCAGAGTAGAAGTTAAAAGATTAAACAAAGATCAAAAGTAGTTGTTGGGCCTGAATAAAGAGTTGATGATGATTGATAACGTTGGGTGAGGAGTAGTGCCCGAAAGATTGATTGAAGATATGAAGATTCAACACTTGACAAAGAGTGCCTCTAAAGTTTGGAGATCAAATGAGGACAACTCTGTGAAATTGTTTAGCTTTAGGGTTTTTTCCTCACTTTTGCCAAATTACTTTAGAGTTTTAAACTTTTCTATATTTCTTAATTCCTAAATTAAATGTCTCCCTCTCTCTCTCACACACACGTACTATATAATATGTATGTACGTAAGTAAGTCAACTCATTAGACTCATGGGTTATATTTTTAAAAAATAAGCTTAATCTATTTATTTAAATAAGATTAATCAAAATTTGAATTTAAACTTGGTCTATTTATAAAAAAAATTAGCGGTTTTTGCAAACATAATCCATATTATAAGTTCAAATTAAATAAACAACTCAACATTTATTATATTTTATGTTATTTTATTATATGTTAATGATACATCATTTTATATCAATAATAAATCTTTTACAAATTTTCTTTAAATAATTCACTTATCTATCAATAATAAACTTATCATATATTAATGATAAACGCTTTGTATATCAATGTTAATTGGCCACATGCTCAAATTTTTAAAATTTTTCATATTTTTTCTTTAGGTACAAATTTTTTTTGGGCGAGTGGCCAATTTGTCCGTAAAGTTATGTCTGGTTTGAAGAAGACGAGGCTATGAGGCTTTGATAAGATCAATGGCCTACTTAAATCAATCCTTATGCAAAGATAATGTTATTTTTAATCAACAGCAGTGAGCAAGCTTTTGACTTTCCAGTAATTAATAGTCAAATTGGAAAGCACTTGTTAATTAATTTCTTTTTAGATTTTTTTATAACGCAATCAGATAATTTTGGTCAGCCACCCCTACAGCAACATCATGTTGGAAAACCAAACTTCCACTTTCATTAATGTGAATAAATTTAAAAAAAAAAGATAAATAAATAAATTAACCCTTAAATTATAGGTTTATGAGAACACAGGATCATAAATTCATCTTTTGTATAATTTTTTAAAATTTTTAAAAATAATGTAATCTAATATCTATTGTTAATAAAAATTAATTTTGATAATTAGTTAATTCAAAAATAATAGAAAAGAATATAAAAATTACATGAATAAATTTTTATTAACTTTTGAATTTCGTTTTTCACGGGTTGCTGACTCCGCATCTTAGCATGAGATTGAATTAAAAAAAAAAAAACAAAGAAAGAAAGACTGGTGGTCCTGAAAGTGACCGCAAGAAAATTTAAAAATAATTAACATGGATGAGAAAAAGAAAGATAGAGCATGTTTTATGATGCTTCAGTTTATTCTGACAAAGCGAGATTATTAGATCACGCGTTAACGAAGACCTTTCAGAGACTTCCGTTTAAAATAAATTGACTCTTTGGTCGCTTGGGGTTATCCACTAACATTGGAATAAATTGACTCATTATAAACGGGCACTGCATCAGGCAAGGCCTGACTTAAATTGAGATACCTTGAGTAATGATTTATTTTATGTTTATTTTTTCCTACAAAATTGAAAACAATAAAAAATTTGAATTTTTTTCATCATCTTTACATTGTCTCCCTTGCTGGAAAGTAGCTCTAATATCACTTTTTGGGTCTAGAGAGCATTTCAGAAGAGAGTAGAAACATAATTGCGCTGCACAACAATTCTAAAAAAAACATATATAAGTGAAAATAATATTATATTTTAACTTAAAGCTTTAAAGTATTAAATTTAAGGGTTTTTTTAGATTATATGATTCTTCTCTAATTTTCCCAATCCAACTATAATATCGGTTTGGGACTTTTTTCAATACTAAGTCAAGTCGATTCACAGTTGATATTCCAATAATCTCCTCTCAATTTTGAGTCTTTAATGCATATCCAAAATCATTAACACTACTGTTTTCATTGTATTCATAGTAGGTCTCTTATTGGTATAAGGCTGTGATATCACTTGTTGGACTCATAGAACATTTTTAAAGAGAGTAGAATGCCACTCAGTTACTCAAAATTTCTAAGATAACACATATAAATGAATATGTTACTACATCATAATTTAAAACCTTAAAGTTTTAAGTTTATGTTTCTTTTTCAATTATATACCTCTTCTCCAACTCAACAATAATTGATATGGGACTTTTTTTTTTTCCATATCAAGTCAAGTGAACTTATATTTGATATTTCAATAATTACTTAATGTACTTTTATCCAATTAAATTAAAATAAGTGAATTTTAATGTATTAATAATATTCATAATAGTAATTTGTTATAAAATAAATAATGCATAAATGATCTATGAATTTTTATTTAATTAAAAACAAACACTTTAAATTATAAAGCTAAATATATAAGTTTTCTAAAATTCTAAATTACTCTTCATTACATG